ATAACTTTTAACTTTATCTTCTAAAGTGTATTTTTATTTTCCATTTAATTTCTGTTCTTATCCTTAGTTTACTTTCAGTGTTCACTGGCTGTTCTTTTTCTAATTTCTTCAGTTCAATACTTGCGTAATTTATTTTGACAATTTTTTTCTTCTTTAGTGTTTTTATTCAGTATATCAGTTTCCCTCTAAGCATTGGTTTAAGGTTTATCTAAATCCACAGATTTTGGCACATTGTTTTTACTACGTTTTACTGCAAACATTTCCTAATTTCCATTATGATATATTCTTTTATGTGTGAGTTTTTTTCAGAGTTGCATTCTTTAGTTTTTAGACATGGAATGATATTACTTAGTGACTGCTGTGTTAATAATATTATCACAACTTAGCCTTAAAGAAACATACATTTATTATCTCAGTTTTTTTTGGTCAGCAATCTAGGCATGGATTAGTTGGGCCTCTCCTTCAGGTTCACTTACAAGGCTGCAGTTAAGGTGTTGGCCAGAGTTGCAGTTTTATTTGAGGTTTAACTAGGAAAGGATCTGCTTCCATGATCATGTGACTATTGGCAGAATTCAGTTCATTCTGAGTCGTTAGACTGAGAATCTGAATTCTTTGTGAGCTGTTGTCTGGGGCTCTACTCAGCTCCTTGCCGTGGAGGCCTCTACACGGGGCAGCTCATAACATGGCAGGTTTCTTTAGCTTAGCCATTAAGGGAGAGTGTCAATAGAGTCTGCTAGCAAGATGCAAGTTACAGTCTTGTTTAATGTAATTATTGAAGTGTTATTCCTTCATTGTTGCCATATTTTCTTGCTTAGAGGTAAGTCCCATCTCCTTCCTATACTGTAAAGGAGAAGATTACATAATGCTGTGGGTAACAGGAGGTTAGGAAAATTGGTGGTCAGCTTAGAGCTTCTTGCAGAGTGATCTATATCGTGTTATTTCTAGTTTAATTGAAGTGTATCAAAGAACATACTCAGTATGATTTCATCACTTGAAATTCGCTATAAATTGCTTTATGACCCCACATTTTGCCTATTTTTTGTATATATTCCATGTTTACCTGAAAATAATATTTATTATTCTCTTACTGGGTATAATGTTCTCGATATGTCAGTCAGGTCAGGTTAAAAAGTATTCTATAACTTTTTATATTCTATATCTGGTAGTAGGCCATATTCTTAGGAGCATACAAATTTAGAATCTCAAAATACTAAATTTCTGTGTCTGTAGTTCATTTATCCTCTTATTAATTTAACAGATTTATCTTGTTATTTCTGTTTGCTTCTTATACTAATACAAGTTTATTATCTTTCTTTTAGCTTTTAAAAATTGTTCATGTTTTCTGAAACTATGCTTTTCAATCTTTGTTCAACCTTATATTGAAATCGTGTCACTTACAAGCATCATATACTTAAAAAAATTGATTTGACAATAATTTTACTACTAAATGTTTACTTTCTATGTATTTCTGATACGTTTAGGTTAAAATTTATCATCTTATTATTTATGTCCTTTATATTTGCTCCGTATCTTGTGTTTCTTTTTTTTTCCCCCTTCTTTTGAGCTAAGTATTTGTTCCTTAATTTTTTCCCCATTAACTTGATGGTTGTATATTATTTTAAATACCTTTAGTGGTTACCCAGAGATTCTAGTATGAATATTATAATTAACATCTTACATAAACTGATTCTTTTGCCAATCTATGTATGATACAAGAAACTTACAACAGTAATTCATTTGGTTTCTCTTGCCTTGTATGCTGTGGTTATATATTTTAGATTGCAGTATTTTTTAATTCTAGAAGTTACATAATTATTGCAAATATTCAGTATTCTTTTAGATTTACGCACGTTTGTCATTTTCATTGCTCCAATTGTTTTCCTTGACTTGTATCAATCTTACATTATTTTTCATCCTTATGAAGAATGTTGGTTGGCTGGTGACAAATTCTCCCGATTTTATTTGTCATGGAATGTTCTTATTTTGCTTTTGGTGATGAGGAAAAGTTTTCCTCTAACCTCTTAGGTTTGTTGTTTGGGGATCTGTGAATTAAACAGACAAACACAGATTTGCAAGAAAAAAGACCTATTTTTAGTCATAAATAAGTATATCAGAATTCGGCCGGCTGCTTTGGCTCACGCCTGTAATCCCAGCACTTTGGGAGGCCAAGGCGGGTGGGTCACCTGAGGTCAGGAGTTCAAGACCACCCTGGCTAACATGGTGAACCCTTGTCTCTACTAAAAATACAAAAATTAGCCGGGCATGATGACGGGTGCCTGTAATCTCAGCTACTTAAGAGGCTGAGGCGGGAGAATTGCTTGAACCCAGGAGGCGGAGGTTGCAGTGAGCCGAGATCATGCCATTATACTCCAGCCTGGGCGACAGAGCAAAACTTCATCTCAAAAAAAAAAAAAAAAAGAATTCACAGAAAAATGTGACTCAAGGAAGGGGTTAGAATTTGGGGTTATATACATACCATTTTAATAGGGTAAAAGTGAGGTAATGAAGGACACATTTGGGGAAGCTAATGATTTTGCGCACAGTAAGTAGGCCCTTAGGAGAATGGTTAAGTGATATTACAGTTTTGCAACAACGTCTATTTAGATAATTTCTTATCCTGGTACTAACTTCTCATCTTTACTGATAATAGTCAATCTTCCTTGGTTGCAAAACTCCCTGGGAAGGGATTGATGAAAGCTGAATTCTTTTGGGAGCTTCTCTGTTTAGGCAGATAAAGGAAGTTCAGAAAAAGACTCTTTTTTTTCCGACAGTGGTATATTCTGGACCCTTTAAATCTCATTATTGAAGGATACTTTTTGAGGATAGAATTCTTTTCTTTTTCTTTTCTTTTCTTTTCTTTTCTTTCTTTTCTTTTCTTTCTTCTTTTTTTGAGTCGGAGTCTTGCTCTGTCACCCAGGCTGGAGTGCAATGACGCGATCTCGGCTCACTGCAAGCTTCGCCACCCAAGTTCAAGCCATTCTTCCACCTCAGCCTCCCTAGTATCTGGGACTACAGGCACCTGCCATCATGCCTGGCTAATTTTTGTATTTTTAGTAGAGACAGGGTTTCACTACGTTAGCTAGGCTGATCTTGAAGAGGATAGAATTCTTAGGTGGTTGGTTTGTTTGTTTTTGAGACAGGATCTCTCTCTGTTGCTCAGGCTGGAGTGCTGTGGTGGGATCATAGCTCGCTATAACTTGAAACTCATTGACTCAAGTGATCCTTCTGCCTCAGGCTCCTGAGTAGCTGGGACCATAGGCATGTACCACCATGCTGAGCTAATTAAAAAAAACTTTTTTGGTAGAGATGGAATCTCACTACATTGCCAAGGCAAGTCTTGAACTACTGGCCTCATGTGATCCTCTCGCCTGGGCCTCCCAAAGTGCTGGGATTATAGGTGTGAGCCACTGGCCTGGCGTTTTAGGTAGTATTTTTGTTTAGTATTTTAAATAGGTCATTGTATTCTTCTCTGGCTTCCATTAGGCTTATTGTTGCTCTTTTGAAGGCCTCTCCCCCTGTCTGCTATTAAGAGTTTTTTTCTTTGATAGTTTTACTACTACTGCCTAAGTGGGGTATCCTTGAAAACCCTGCTTGGGTTTTGTAGCACTCCATCAACATATCGCTCAGTGGTTTTTCCCAATTTTGAAAAATCTTGGCCATTATCTCTTCAAATATGGCTTCTTTCTAATTATGTGTCTACTCTTTCTTATACTATAGATACACTTATATTAGATCCTTTTACCATGTCCTGTATGTCTGTTATTTATTTTGTTCAATTTTCAGTAAGTTTTCTTACTATGTTTCAGTCTAGTTGTCATTGACCTATCTTTCAGTTAATTTTTCCTTTTTTGTCTGAGCTTAATAACCCAGTAAATCTATTTTTATATTTATTTATTTTTTCAGTATGTTTACAGTTGTCATTCTTTATTGGAATTCTCTATTACATAATGAGTTCTAAACATATTAACTACATTCATTTCAATGTCCAGATGTGAACCAGTTTCTATTTAGTTTTCATTTGTATAATATTGTCTCTTGTGCCTGTTAATTGGTGACTGAATGCTGAAAATTGTATTTTAAAATTGCAAGGGTAAATTTAAGCCTCTATGATATTATCTTCCTTTAGAAAGGACTTCCTTTTGGTTTCTGGTTAGCAATTAGACTAATAGCTCATTGTATTAATTTAGGGTCTGAGCTGACTCAATCAAGGGTTGGGTTTTTTTTTTTTTTTTTTTTTGGTAAGGTTCTTGTGAGAGTTTGGCCTGTTTTGCCTTCTCCTAGTGTGTAGCCCTTTTGAGGTCCTCTGAAAACCTGGGGTTTTACCATGGCCCTCCTGCATTGCTATTTCTGATTTTTTTCTCCCCGCCCTGAAAGCTTTGCTTAGCTTTTTGGCTGCCAGTTAACCTGAATACCAATCACCAGATGTTCTCTGAAGGTCTGTTTCAGTGTTTTGAGGCCTGATCTATTTCTTGCTTTCTGGGGTATGCCTGATACCTGTTGTAACTCTTGGGTAGTCTACCAAGACTCCCCCACGTTGACAGACTGCGAACCTCAGTTTTTTTCTATTTATCTTTGTGAGACTAGTGACAGGTCTGTGTAGCTCCTCTGTTCTCACTTGGGAATAGCAAATGCTTTAATGTAAAAAGTCAAACTGATTGTCTTTTGTGTTCTTTCTTCTCTGTGATCTTCCCTGGTTAATTTTGGCTGCCTTGGTAACTTTCCAGTGCATTTTAAAAGATTAAAACACAACTTTAATCTAGTATTTTTAGTTGCTTTTGTTACATGGCTAATCTGATAGAAGCCAATCTGCTATTGCCAGAAGGGTAAGCTTTTGCTGTTGTTACATTCCTCAATTATTTAGTGTGAAATAATGGTACCTCATTGTGTATGATGTCAAAAGAAGAAAGTAAGGATTCCTTCCTCTCCACAGTAAGCAGTGAATAATCATTTATGTTGTGTGTGAATACATATATTTATTTGATAACATTCATTTTTTACAGATTGCTTAGCCAGACAATGAAAGATCATCTAGTAAGAGTAGCAAATGAAGCTGAATTTATCCTGAGCAGGCAGAGAGCAGAAGATATTCACAGACATGCGGAATTTGAGGTAGGTTACACATGTGGTTGGTGTGCGGAAATTACCGTTTTTTAATGATAATCATGGCAAATTGTCCCGGTAAAATGGCAGGTCCAAAGAAACATAGTATATGTCATCAAAAAATTAAAATCTAGGTTTATGGGAGAGTCATGGGGGTTCTGGGAGATAGTACATGTCTCTTTAGCCTCTGGTCTCAGTTGCAGTTGAGCTACCAGAGAAGCTTGATCAGAAAAGCTTCTTGTTTGGCTGGTCTAATGTTAATAATCAGAGGTGAGTCTTGACTCTGATGGTTTTCCTATAAAGAAAACTGGTGAAGGAGTTCTTCCTTTCTGGGCAAAACAGAGCTAGTTAGCCAGAAATGAAAATCTCTATGGCAAAGGTAAGATCATCCAGGTTTCTCGAGAGGAACTGAACACACAGGTGTGAAATTTCTCTGTCTTTAGGGTTTGGAGCATAATATTATTTGTAGCTGACGAAATGAGGGAGCATACACCTCTCTCCTTGGATTATCATAGGAGAGGACTAAGTGATAAACCCATCCCGGGACCATTGCTTATCTCAGTAGTTGTGCCTGAACATGTATAAGAAATATAAATTTCTACAGGAAATTAATGGTTTTGTAGCTATAAAAATGACTCAAATTCACCTAAAGTAAACTAGAAAATTAGATAAGTAGTACATTTGCTATAGAATTGGAAAAATATTTAAAAGCACTGTATGGCTTTTAACATATCAAGAACAGATAAACTCATATGTTGCTGACATTTTTCTGGTACATTAGAAAAGATGAAAAATCTTCCAAGTGAATTTTACACAATCAGCAAATCTGAAAATTATTCTAGAAAAATAAAACTCTAGAAGACCAATTTCGCTTAAGAATATAAGTACAATATTTATACTATAACTTTAAATAACATAATTAATCAATATAAAGAATGAATTATATAGTATGATGACTGAAAACTTTTACTGGAATTATAAAATGTTTATTTTGGGATATCTACCTGCAAAATAAATTACATCAACAAATTAAAAATAGAAAAAACATGAAGATATCAGTAAAGGTAGAAAAAAGCATATGATGATTTTTAGCTGCCAGCCCTATTAAAACTCAGAGAAAAAGATTTATATAAGGAAACATACAAATATGGTAAAGACTATTAAATATTTTAAATGATTAAAGTCATCTCTTTTAAAATCAGGAAAAATGAGTGATACTTACTGTCAGTGTTGTTAACATATTTTTTGATGTTCTTGCAAGTGTAAGATATAGCTAATATAAATGCTATTAAAGAAATAAGAGTGGTTTCAAATTTCTAATGCTGTGGTCTAGGAAAATCTAATTCCTGTGTCCTGAGGTGTACCTGGATCTTGAACGTTTTTCTACCAGAGTTAATAAAAGAATTTGGTGAGATTATTAGATATGAGAGAGTTATGCAAAAAATTAATAGCTTTTCTTTGAAAGTCAGTAACCAGTTAAGAATGGACATCAGAAATACAGTGTGTTCATAGATATGACAAAAACAATGTTTTGGGCCAAATTCTGCAAGAAAAGTACACATGCTCTTTGGAATGAAGCTACAAAATTTTATTAAAGCAAATAAGATAAAATATAAACTGTCACTCATGTCTGTTGTGAAGAGACCACCAAACAGGCTTTGTGTGAGCAACAAGGCTGTTTACTTCACCTGGGTGCAGACGGACTGAGTCCAAAAAGAGACACAGGGAAGGGAGATAGGGGTGGGGCCGTTTTATCGGATTTGGGTAGGTAAAGGAAAATTACAGTCAAAGGGGAGTTGTTCCCTGGCAGGCAGGAGTGGGGGTTGCAAGGTGCTCAGTAGGGGAGCTTGTTTGAGCCAGGATGAGCCAGGAAAAGGAATTTCACAAGGTAATGTCATCACTTAAGGCAAGGACCGGCCATTTTCACTTCTTTTGTGGTGAAATGTCATCAGTTAAGGCAGTAACAGGCCATTTTCACTTTTGTGATTCTTCAGTTACTTATACGTGCAGGTCACAGGGGATGCGATGGCTCAGCTTGGGCTCAGAGGCCTGACATTCCTGGCTTCTTATATTAATAAGAAAAATAACATAAAATAGTATTGAAGTGTTGGGGCAGCAAAGAAAATTTTTTTTTGGGGGGTGGCGTGGAGAGATAATGGGCGATGTTTCTCAGGGCTTCTTCAAGAGGGATTAGGAGTGGCATGGGAACCTAGAGTGGGAGAGATTAAGCTGAAGGAAGATTTTTGTGGTAAGGGGTGATATTTTGGGGTTGTTAGAAGAAATATTTGTCATATAGAATGATTGGTGATGGCATGGATACAGTTTTGGATGAATTGAGAAACTAAATGGAAGATACAAGGTCCGAATAAAAGAAGTAGAAAAATAGGTATTAAAGGACTAAGAATTGGGAGGACCCAGGACATCCAATTAGAGAGTCCCCAGGAGGGTTCAGCATAATTACTTGTTTGGTAGGCAGGTTTTTGGACTCTATCCTTGAGTTTTTTTATGTTGTCATGCACCAGTCCAGATTGATTTAGGTGAAAACAACACTCTTCATTTAAGAATATACAGAGTCCTCCTTTTTCAGCAGTGAGTAAGTCAAGGCCTTGGTGGTTTTGGAGGACACCTGCAGCTAAAGAGTCAACTTGGGCCTGGAGGACTGATAAAGTTTGTGATATGTCTGTAATGCTAGCAGAGAAGTCATTAGAAAGGCTACGGAAGGTTGTGACAGAGGTTGAAATGCCTGCTCTTCCAACACTGAGAGCAATAGTGGAGGCAGAAAGTCCTAAACCGACAAGCAAGGGAATTAGTAGAATAACTCTTTTTTGTCGTGTCGGTGTCATGAGGGGATCAGGGAGCTCTTCGGTCCCATTTGCAAATTGAATTTTGGGAGTAAGGAAACCTAGTGTGCATGTGCCTGTCCAATTAGCAGGTAGACACATGTAGGTGGAGGATCCACAGAGGAAGAAGAGACCTGTGCGAGGCAAAACTGGAGATGCAAAGTAAAAAGATGAAAGGGAGTGCTGAAAGGGGGAGTCTTGTACCCAGACTCCTAGGGATCCAGCTAGGGCGGCAACTGTCAGAGGTTGTAATGGGGACTGATGAGGTAACTGTAGAGGGGGAGGTTCGATTTTCATGGTGTATGAGAAATGTTGAGTATCCATGAGCAACCTTTCACTGTTATTTTCGGGACTGGGTATAAGTAAACAAGAAGCGGACCTTGGAGGAGAGTCTGAAGGGCAAGGGGAAGGTAGCCAAGGATGGAGTGAAATACAGGGTAAGTGTCTTCCTAAGCAATAATTACTGCTAATGTTTTTAAGTTTGCCAGTATTGACAGAGGGCTTGTCTGTAATATGGAGCTGGAAGGCTCCAATTGTTTCAGTGATGTATGTAGTTGGGCTTTGGATATGAAGAGTAAAGGAACATCGAGAAGGTGAAAGGTTACCTAGGGGAATTCCAGTGGGTTTTTGCCGAGAGATGCATAAAGGAGCGGCCACAGGAATAGTAGTTTGTGTTGTGAGAGGTCCAAATATGGGGGGAGTAGAGTTGATATAAGGAGAAAGAGGTTGAGGGATAGTGAGAGAGGTTGGAGAAGAGAGTAAAAAGAGAGGCCGCTTACCCAATTTAAAATTGGTGAGATGTTCCTTGGGCTGGTTGGTCTGAGGGATTGTGGGTTAAGGTGGGGGGATATGAGAGGAAGACGCAAAGGAGGCTTTGGGTTGGGAAGAAGGGCAGCAATGTGATATGGCTGTACTCCAGGAATAGTCAGGGAAGCAGATAATTTGGTTAAAATATCTTGGCCTAATAAGGGAACTGGGCAGGTGGGGATAACTAAAAAGAGTGCTTAAAAGAATGTTGTCCAAGTTGGCACCAGAGTGGGGAGTTTTAAGGGGTTTTGAAGCTTGGCAATACCCACAACAGTTATTGGGACAAGGGAAACAGACCCTTGAAAAGAAGGTAATGTGGGGTGTGTAGCCCCCGTATCGATTAAACAGGAGATGGACTTATTCTCCACTGTGAGAGTTACTCAAAGCTTGGTGTCCGTGGTGGTCCAGGGGGCTTCCGAGGCGATCAGGCAGTGTCAATCTTCAGTCGCTGTGCCTAGCAGATCTGGGAAGGAGTCAGTTAGAGAGCCTTGGGCTAGAGCTTTAGGGGCTCTAGGAGTGACTGCCAGGTGAGCTGGGCAGTCTGATTTCCAGTGGGTCCCTGCACATATGGGACGGCTTGGGAGGAATCCTGGACTGTGGGCATTCCTTGGCCCAGTGGCCAGATTTCTGGCACTTGAAGCAAGATCCTGATGGAGGAAGTCTTGTAGGAATGCTTGGCTGCTGTGGCTTAGGCATGTGCAGCTTAGGCATTTTGAAGTTCTTGTACACTGGAAGTGTGACTGGGTTTTGTCTCACAGCAGAGGCAAGTAATTGTAACTCAGAAATGCGTTGCTGTCTGGTACACCTTGAAGGCGAGGCTGGTTAATTCCTGTTGTGGTGTTTGAGGGCCAGAAATTCTAATTTTTGAAGTTTTTTCCTAATGTCAGGAGTGGATTGGGTGATAAAATGCATATTAAGAATAAGGCGACCTTCTGGGTCTAGGGCGGTAAAGCGTTTAAGGGTTGCTGCTAAGCAGGCCATGAACTGGGCTGGGTTTTCGTCTTTACCTTGGGTAGTTTCTTTAAGCTTGTCATAATTAACAGCTTTGTAAGCTGCCTTTTTAAGCCCTTTAACTAGGCAAGAAATCATGTAATCTCGCCTAGCTGTTCCTGGGGAATCTTCCTGACAGTTCCATTGGGGATCCTCTCAGGGAACTGCTTTAATGCCTTCCTGGAGGTCTGGCTCGTGAAGCTGGCAGTTATCAGCATGACATTGGGCTAGAGAAAAAACTCTTTCCAGTTCATCTCAGGAGAGGGTAGAAGTCAGGATGAAATTTAAGTCACTCCAGGTTAAATTGTAGGACAGAGTTAGATATTGAAATTCTTGTATATATTTAGTGAAGTCTAATGAGAAAGAGCCTAA